CAGCAAGGCTTTCATTTATTTCTGAGAATGTCCTTACATGCAGCCATTACTATGCAAGGGGTACATTTCATTGCAAAGAGCTCAGTTTCTGCTTTAGCTGGAAACTTCTTGGATATTTCAGAGGGTCTGGTTAACTAGGGTTTGCTGAAAATGGCCATTCCAGTGGTCATGATCCATGGTGCCTGGGCCAGCATCCTTGCATGAAATCAGCAGATGTCATTCCAGTGGAAACCCTGCAGCAAAGTGTCAGTTTGGGAATAACACTTCCTGGGATGCCTGTCCCCTTGAAAGACAGTGAGAGAATGTCTGACTCCCAAGAGCAACACAAAGCTGTGATACGTGGTCCTCTGGAAAGCTGGGCCCTTTACAAGCACACAGGCATTTAAACAAGGTGCAAGATTTGGCTAAGACAGTGTTTGCACAGGGCTAGCAAGAGACACAGCACCCACTCCCAAGGAGCACCACAGCTTCTGGCAGCACTGTGCAGACCCTGCGTGGTTCCTCAGTGGGGTGCTTGGGAAGAAGAAACAAAGCACGAGACAAAGAGAAGGAGACACAACAGACTCTTAGTTTATAAAGCTTAAAAAGGGGTGAATGAAAGCAGGATGAAAAGATGGATTTTTGTCTTGATGTACAAACTCAGAGGTTTCCTCTCTTCACGTGGAAGTGAGAGCTTGGCCATGCATGGGCAAATATGCATGGAGTTTCATATTCCCCAGGTTCATCCACTCTTACAAGCACCTTTTGTACCACAGACTGTGCTGCTCTCTGGCACACTGGCTTTTCTCCATATGGCTGGCACATACTGTAATGGCATGGGTACCTCCACAGTGGTTTAGTCCCCTACCCACACTTTTCTGAGTGATAGAAGAGAGAAGAAAGGCCAAATACCATGAATCAGAGTATTCTCCAGCAATTCTGCTTTGCATGTAAGTTCAGAAAAGTTAGAAAACTATTTCCTCTCCTACACAGGGCTATTTTCTCCTCATTCATATCTGTAGGTTTGTCCCAAGTTGCAGTCCTATGATCTCACAACCTGCAGTTTTACCTTTACTTGTCCCTTATTCTACAAAACTGCATATACTACCTTGTTCCCTTGACCTGCCTACATGACATTTAGCTCCACTGGTCTTCCAGCTCAAGCCTGTGCCATCTTGGCATAAATAGGTGCTTAACTGCACACCAGCACTCCCCTGGTCCAGGAAGCCAATATACTTACTCACAGGGTTTATTAAAAGGTCCATTGCAGACAGATGTTTTGGCACTCAGGGCCAACTGGAAGCTACATAGCCATTTTAGAGAAGTGTTAAGCCACAGCTGCAAGTTTATGAGTTGGGTTTTGCAACCAGCTAATTACAGGCACAGCTGAGAGCACATACAGAGGAAGCTCCTATCTGCTGGTCAGTGACCACACAGCTATAGATACAGTATAAGTGAATAACAATGAGAAAAGCAACATACAAAAACTTGCTGGAATGAAGATACACGGTATGTTTCACTTTGATGAAGTTCAAAGATGGGAAATTCAATTTTATGAAATCCAGCAATGGGGAAATAAGCATGTATCACTGTAATAAGGTTATTAATCATGGAAAACTGAATGTCCTGTTTAAAATGAGCAGGACAAGGTAATAAAGACTATCAGTGGAAAGTGAAACATCACAAAAAAACTGGGTTATCAAAATAACTGATTTTTTACCTGACAGCTTGATCTGCATTAGTGGGCATTAGTGGGGGAGAAAAGCATTTTTTGACAAGTAGCGCCTGTACATCAAAGCAGACTGCAGTTTATTAGATATTATCTATTTTATTAGATTAAATCAGACCACATGTACCAAGCCTCAGATATGGAGAAAAAAATCCAGTTTCAGAGGATAATAGGCAAGGTTCCCTCTGGAGCCTTCCTGGATTCTGCCATGCTTAGACCTCAAAGCTTCATTGGTGGTTCATCTTACCCCACCTTTCTTTCTCCTCATGCTTCCCAGCATTTGGTGCTGTCGTTAGTGATTAGGATATGTTTAATGTTCAGGTGAATTAAATTACTCTTTCATGGCTGATAGCCACCTCATTGCCACCCTCAGCTACGATGTAATACTTCTCAACAGATGAAAAGCATGTATGTCTTGTCTGGACTATGATTTACACTGCACCGCCCAGAGATGTTTCAGGGTGAGGTATTTTACTTTACCCTGAAGTTAAACAGGAGCAGTCATTTAGATACAGACTTACTTCATTCTGTCTTAGGGAAGAGAGGGATAGGATGACATAGGATTAACACGTGCATTATTTTACTTGTGCTTGGCACAGCCATAAATTTTTACTATTCTTAAACTGTTCAGGTCCCTCATAACATGGAAGAGGAAGTACAGTCTGGTTTCTGTGATTCCTTCCATGTCCTGACTGCCTTGTAGCTTCGAGGCTGATGCTTTAAATCTTTAACTTCTTTTCTTCTAATTTTCCTCCCTAGAGTCTCTTTCCTCTTTCAGGCTTACCTGTAAAGCACATCAGGAAGTGGTAGTAAGACCACAAGTCTCAATACTTGAATTACTAGCCAGGCATCAGCAAGTATCTGCCTACACACAACTACACATCTGCAGGAAGGAAGGGGTGAAACCACCTTAGATTGAAATCACAACCTGCCTGGCTGTAGCTCACAGTGCCTTGTAAGTAAAAATGCAAAAGATACATATAACTTGCCAAAAGAAGTCTCTGTCTTACCACTTAATTGTACATGGCAACTAAGGGAGCCCAAACACTCTAAAAATCAGTCTGAGATAAGAAGTCTCTTATGTGATGAGGGACCTATAATACAGTGTACTGTCTTTATATTTTCCTATGTACTCAAAGGACATGCATCTGGAATGGTTACACATTTTCAGCTTATAAAAACTAACTGCATATTTGTCAATTAAAGTCAAACTAATTCCTGCATCCTGCATCAAAACCATACTTTGATAATCACATGTTTAACACTAGCCCATAGAATATAAACTCTGACAGGTCCTGATCCAGCCTCCTCAGCTTCCAGTGAAATCCACAGTCTCATTCAGCCTTGGATTAAACTTGGAGAACTGCACACAGCAAAATGATGTGTGGGGAAAGAGCAGGAGAGCTGCAGCCAGCACACCAGACTGCTTTCCAGGCACAATGTTGAAATGCCCTGAAGGTGTTATAAAGTGATACCATGCTAAGTAAGGCCACTAAATGGGTTTGATCTATTCTGACAGTGTCAGCTCTCCACATCTAGAGGGGGGGAAAGAAAGTGTCATATGGACAGATCTTTAGGCACCATCCAGTTTGTCCACTTTATTATTTCTGCTGGCTTTTGGTTTTTTTTTAACACGGGCTAGGAAATTTATATTAATTCTTTCCTCTTTATCATAGTTGAAGATTTACATTCCTCCTCAATATGGTCATTTATCAGGTACATTTTGGGTTCCTATCTTCTAAAAAGCATGAAACCCCAACAAATCCCATATCATAAGCATTGTTCAGTGCCTCCCAGGGTCAAGCAGTCTCGCAGAGCAAGCTATTGCATGGGGAGGACTCTCTGCCCCTGCACATCTGCCCCTGAAGTGTGTGTGCAGCACTGGGCCAGCAGCGTGCTGAGCCACGCCTCTGTTCCACGGAGACACTTTCCACATCTATTGTTCTTGATTAGAAAAGCATCCCAAATTTTAGAATTGACATTTAAGACTGAATAAAGTTCCAGTTTGGTTTTATCAGGGCAAACTTTAAACTATATTGTCTAGTAGCTTTTGTTACTATATTTCCTTTATGAGTGTGAGTGGGAAGAGCATTAAGGAAGGCTATAAATCAAATGCATACTTCTAGTGAGTGCAGGAAATCCTTCATGTTTCATAGAAATAGAAATAAATGTGAATTTATTCACATTGTCCACATTTAACACATCATCCAAGGTAGTATTCTAGAAGCAAAATTATCAGAAGAAATCAAAGGAAAAAAATCCCCCAGAAATCCAGTGGTGCCTAAAGCATTAATTAAAAGCCATTGCCTCCTACACATATAAGACAGAAGAGACAAAAAAATCCCAGCATTTTTGTTTTCTTTTGTTTTTTGAGGGGCTAGGGGATAAAAGAAACATCATGGTGTTGAGATTTAAGACAACTCTCTTGACACTGATAGCGTGCCAGCATGTCCACTGGAAAATAACCTGCCCTTAGTGACTAATTCTCAACAGAAAACTTGGCTACTTGCCAAAATGTACATATCCCTACATGTATGCAGGAAATCATTTTCAGTGAACCCAGAGCTGGCCTAGCAGGATGGGAGATTCTGAGCAAGGCCCCATTGATACATTCTATTGGAATGGGTTAAAAGACACAGCAGCATGTTATGGATGACAGCAGAGAGAATTTAAATATGCAGCATAATGGTAAAGCAATTAATAAGAGCAGTTGCTAACAGTTGCACAACAGAGGAGTGTTTTAAAATTCCTGTGCTCTTTAACAATAATGTGGAGAGACGCTGTGAAGGGGAAGGGGGGGAAAGCCTGGCAGGGAAGGGACATTCCTTCAGTTCCTCTCAAAAGTTTGAAAAAAACCTCTGGATAGGAAAATACTATTGAGCAGCCAATTCTTTCCACATTTGGCTAAGCCTAATGCCCAAAATACACAGAACACTACTTCACTTTGAAAGGATTGCAATACTCCTATCTGAGTCATCTGAAAGCAAATAAAATGAGACCTAAACAAATAAACCTAATTGTGCATGGAAACAAATCCAGCTCTCCAGCTTGGCCATGCCTTTGTTTTTGTTAGTTTAAAGCCTACATATGCCGTTTTAGTGGCATCAAGAGTTATACAAATATTGACAACAAATTGCCAAATGTTGTTTTTTTCCCCTTCAGTGCACAGAGTAAAGAAGCTGGGGTAATGCTTCTAGGAACCTTCCCCAGTGCACTGAACCAAATCACAGCTTGATGGGACCCACTCCAGCCTCTTCTCTGAAGAGTAGACACTAATGAGATTGAGGTTGTTGATTGTTATCGTCAGAGACTTTTATTTTTCACTCATGAACTCTGCTGAACACAAATCCAGGCTTTCGAAACGTAGCTCAAATGTTTGCACCATAGCCAGGGCATTGTCACATGCTCTGTCCTCCACCCCATGATTTGTTGCTGGCTTGTGTCATCCTTAACCTGCTTCTGGTGGTTTGGCCAGGAGAGAAACAAATAATGATGACAACTGAGAAAACCAAGCTGCTCTCTGACATCGTTCTTTTAAAATGCTATTGCTACTTGCTGGCTGTAGAGAAGGGGCAGTCGCCTTGAGATAGAAATCACTCATGAAATCCTGCTGTCATCTGTCAAAGGTATATTTCCATCAAGTTGGTCTGAATCCTTAGCAGCTTGCTAGAAAAAATGAGAATATGTCAAATCTTGATCTGTCACAAGCTAAAGTTAGAAAAAAATATATTTACATTTGACTTTTAAATGAAGCCCAGACTTTCCTCTCACAGAGAGCCAATACATTAACACATTTTCTTCCTCTTTGCTTCACATTCACAAAACATCCTTAACTTTTATTATTCTATCTGGCTGGATAGCAAGGTTTTCATTTTGCAAAACCATAAATTTTTAGTACCAACAAAAAAGAAAAAGAGGAATTTTAGAACTGGATAAAGACTCAGAGTTTTCACACAAAGAAGCCACAGAAATCAGATTCACGCATCCTCCTCAAAAGCCCGACAGTTAAGACACTTCTCTACAGTACTGGAAAGATTAACTGATATTGCTGTTTCTTCTTATTCATCTAGAGAACTTACAACTTGGTCTCATACATCTCAGTGATCACCTAATGATAAAGTTGTTGAATACCCTATTTCTCTTTTTCTCTTTTTCTCCTTTTCATCAGAAATTGCATTCTACACATAAGAAACTCCCCAAAGAATTATATCCCAAGTACCAAATTTCCATGAAAAGTTTCAGGGTTTAGTGCTAAGGTCACCAGCAAAAAAAGTTCTTGACTAATTGTAAACCTTGTAGCTTTGACTGTTATACTATCCACTCTTCATTTATTCTGGTGTTACCTGCTCACCATATGCAGGGAGACCTCAGTATATTCAGGAAGCCACATGCAGAAGCATCAGCAAAGGCTTTCTGTACTGCGTTGCTTATTACAGTGCAAGCACCCCCAAGCACTTACACAGTAAAGGGTGGATCACTAAATCAGTGAAAGGGATAGCAGAAAGGCATGAGAATTTGGGGGCTGTGAGAAAGTGAAGGAAAAAAGATCCTCTCTATTTCACTAACTCTGGACTTCGTAAAAAACCAACACAATGCTTGGGACTGTTCGTGCTGTGAGCAAACACTGAAATATGACAAGGCATCAAGGCATGTTGTGCTACATGATATTCAGGCAGCTGCTGTGATGGCAGTTTTAATCCACCAACTGGTGCAATGAAACAAATCTGAAATGTAAAAGCTAGATTTCCACCAAAATATTTCATTAATATTACATGCATGTAAGGCAGGGAACTCAGACTTGTAATCCCCACAGCAGCCCTAAGTCAGCCCTGAAGGACAAAGCAACAACGCAGCTGCACAGACGGGGGCTCAGAAGGTATTCTAGGTTTCAGTTTCCTGACCGAAGTATGCAAATTTCTCTATCAATGTTCTGTTGGCATATTTTCTTTGAAATTCATTGAAGGGGAAAATACACATTGTTTTTCAGAGGAACATAAGTATGAAATGACTGTATACCAACATATGAAGATAGGCAGATATAGCCAAATTTGTGTGAACACCTACTAGTGGAAAGTTTCACCCTGCAGAACAGATCTCAGCAATATGTTTTAGGTCAGAGGAGGAGAAGAGAGCTGAATCTTCTGTTCTTGACTGCAAATTGAGAATCAAGGACCTTCCACAGCATATGCCAACCTCAAAACCTGTCCTGCACTTACAGCAGTCCCATGCCTGTCACTTGGAATCCCCACCAGCCAGTTTGTCAGCACAGAGTTGGTTGGCACAAGCCTTCACAGCAACAGAGCCTTGCTTACTCAGCTAAAATACCCTGCAGGTCCCACACCATGGGGGAGGAGGAGGTTGACCTACCCCCAGAAGTCACCCACCAAGGCAGGAGAAAGGCACAATTCCTAGTGAAAGAAGAGAGGGAGCAGGTGAGCAGGCTTTGTCTGATTTAGCAAAACACCTTCACTTCACAGAGATGTCCATTCAAATAACTTTTAAATTTCCCTTGATTAAAGCAACAGGGAATAAATAGAAAGGAAAGTAGCATCTGAAGCTGTCCATAAAACAGGATTTGTGTGGGTAACAGATGAGGAGATGTAAGGGCACCTCACCAGCCTGCTCTCTCCTCACATCTCTTTCTCTCACACACTCACCCACTCTTCCTTGGGCTGGGCACCTGCTTGTCCGCTGAGGCAAGTCAGTTAAAACCAAATTTAAACTATAATTATCACAGATAGGAAGGAGGACAGACATCACAGACAGCTGTCTGAGGACAGCTACTACTTCCAGCTGGAACTGCACAGGAGCACTGAGTGTTGTCCCTCCTACTCTCCCTCCTGCTGCTCCCGCATCCTCCAGGTCCCACGATGTGGGGATGTCAGTCTCCCACCACAGCACACAAACTGCCCACGAGCATGGCAAGGCAACTCTCCTTTTCCACCCTGGTTGCCACTGTGGGTGGTCATGTTGGTGTCTGCTCACATTTGCATGGTACTGAGTGCTGTGGAGTGTACAAACTGTTCCATATGGCATGTGGAGGGAGAGAGCCATGCTAGCAGTGCACTACAAAGCTGCATTTATGTTACCATATAGAGCCCCTGGTCTGTATTTGTCTTAGCATGCCTATTAGAAGGATAAATGAGAAAAATCCTACTTGTCTGTTCTTGAAAGTGCAGGAAGAGTAGCTGCTAGCAAGACCGTGCCCTTCACCTTGGGGTTTCTATCTGTCACTCTTCTGCTTGGTATTTGTCACATGCTTAACTCCTATAAGGTCTTAGTTTTTCATTTAAATAGCTTTTACTCCTTAACTTTCTAGGCTACCTTCTTGTTTAATATCTGATCTTTTCCAGCTAATCAGTTGACTGCTATTTCTGAGACACTGTCAAGTTATTTACCTCGCTGAAGTGACATAAGTTCCTCCCCCCACGCCCCCCATCCACCCCCTGTCTGTCTGGTTTCCCCCTCTAGTCTAGCTGAAGTGACAAACTCTCTCCCCTAGCCAAACATTTGTTTTTACAAGGTATTTTTATACCATCACCTCTTCCCTGCATCTCCCCCACCCACCCACCACAAACATATGCTGTAGTGGGAGGACATACTGGTTTCACATAATTTGCAATGTTAAGGTGACAAATTTCCCCTCCTTCAAGTATTTTTTTTTAAGATCTAGTTTGTAAAATGCAAATGGTAATGGGTTAGTTTCTCTTTGCCTTTTTTGCCCTGTGCATGGTGATGTCATTCCTCGCATAGAAGTCAGTGGAAGAGAAAACAAAAACCACTTGATTTATATTATTCAAAACCTACTTATGCTATAATAAGATACAAAAATAGACAAAAAATTATATTGTCTAGATTGATAGATTTCTTTTATTCATCCCAAGAAGGACAGGAACCATGATAATTTCCGAGAAAGTAGGCAAATGTAACCACTTTACTGACTTCATTAGCTGGTCCCAGTATGTTTTTCTCCGTATTAAAATCCACATGCAGTCACATTCACGCAGTAAAAACAACCTCAAGCGCTCTAAGCTTCAGGCTTGGAACCATGGAAAACATGACTGTGGCCTTCATCATACCCAATTAGGGGTACATGTAATCCACAGTGATCCTGGTGTGGTGGATAAATGCCTAAGCCAGCTTTAAAGCAGGCAAGAACAATCTAGTTAAAACAGCACAGAGCCCAAATTGCGCTCAGCCACTCTAAATATTTACCATATTCTGAACAGGAGGCTGCAGGGGCATGCATAGTACTACAATTGGAGAACTTCCAGTACCTGCATTCACCACTGCAAAGCAAGGTCTGGTGTGCTAAACATCCTAGTCATTCTAGCAGCATACATGCATGGAATGGGCCAAATTAGGACTATTTATAAAAGCACTGAGTTTATGTGGTAGGCTGACTGAATAATGTTTTTTATATGTGCACGGTATCTAATGAACACACACCATTAGACTTTCTGAAGTGGGATAAAGACTAAATTGTCTACTATTCCAGAATGTAATCTGCATTTTAATTCCCATTTTATGCAGAACTTTTAGTGCAGTACAAAACAACAACAAAAATGTATGCATCAATAATGCATTCTTGTTAATTTAATCTTGTGACTTTGTCTCATATAAGAAGGGCAAAGAAAGATAAATTTGAAAAACAAAACAGAGTAGGTCAACTCTCTGCCAGCAGCAGAGGAACAAAACGGGAAAGTACTAAACAGTGAAATTTATTTATACTGTGCAGCAACAGGCTCCAGAGGACATATTGTTAACAGAAGGAGCCACTCATAGCACATGCAAAGTTTCTCTCAAACCAAACAGATACGGCTGTCACTGTGGGAAGCCAAGGAGCAGAGAGAATGAAAGAGAGAGGAAAAAACCCTCTCCACAGACTGAAAACATTTTGTAGTTAAGGGACTCAGAGTAGAACATGGGTAGTGCCTTCAGTTTCACTGTGGTTCTAACAAAGTCATCTGGGGGAAATGTCTGCAGAAAACCACCAGAAGTGAGCTAAGCAAATAAGAAGGGAACAAGTAAATGTGTTCCCTTTTTTTCTCAGTAAAATGTGTGGAAATTGGAAGGAACTGGTTGTCTATTCCAAGAATTTTCAGATTGCCCCCTTTTGTATGTTAAGAAAAAATGAGTAGAGGATTACCAGACCACCAGGGAGGTCTGGGGATAGTCTGGCAAAGGAGAGCCATCCTCCAATCATTCTGGAGCTATCAGCCTCCAGAGCTCTGCTGGAAATAGTTCAGGGCAGTACAGTTCTTCTGGCTTTTAATTCATTGCCAAACCTCTGGCACATCCTCAGAAGGAGGTGATATTTATTTGGCAGCATGTTCTTTTCTAGAAAAACAACATTAAATCCTTGCATTAGCACCCTCCTGTTGGCTAAAGATACATCCCTTTTCTGTATGCTCTTGCAGACTAACAGGTGACCTCTGTGTCTCAAAGGAGCATCCAAAGACGTATCTACTGGTCTGTGAGGAAAATATCCACACACATGAAGAGACTACTTCTCTCCCTTCTGGGTCACCAGACATTTTCGTGTATCAGACATTATCTGAACATTCACTCAGCAGTTGGGCATGGCACAATCTAGCCTGAACCTATTCTCACTAGTGACGATCTACACAATATTTCACTTTTCCCATTTGTGTCCCCTCAAAAGC